AGTAAAGGACTAATGCCACTACCACCCAGCTCAATTTTTGTTTGTTTAATTTTATGTGTGTTGGTGTTTTGTCTGCATGTATGTCTGTTCAGTTGAGGAGTGCAGTGCCTAAGGAAGAGGGCATCAGACTCCTTTGGGACTGCAGTTACATACGGTTGTGAGCCACTCTGTGGGTGCTAGGAACTGAACCCAGGTCCTCTGGAAGAGCAGCCGGTGCTCTTAACCACTGATCCATCTCTCCAGCCCTTATTTTCATTTATTTGTGTATGTGTGTATGTCTGTGAATGAATGCTACATGTGTGCAGGTGCCCTTGGAGACCAGGAGTTGGATCCACTGGAGCTAGAGTTACAGGCGATTGTAAGCCACCCAACATGGGTGATGGGAAAAGGAACTCTGGTCCTCTGGAAGAGCAGCAAGTGCTCTTAATCAGAATCACCTCTCTTAACTCCTGGTGTGTGTTTGTTTGTTTGATTTGAGACAGGGTTTCTCCGTGTAGCCTTGACTCCCAAGTTCTGGGATTAAAGGTGTGTGTCACTACTGCTATGCTAAAAAAAATTTTTTATGTGTATGGGTGTTTTGCTTACATGTAAATCTGTGCACTATATGCATATTTGGTACCTGTGGAAGCCAGAAAAGAGCTCCTATCTCCTTAGAAATGGAGTTACAGACAGTTGTGAGCTGCCATGTGGGTGCTGGGAATTGAATCTGGGTCCTCTGGAAGTGCAGCCAGTGCTCTGTATCACTGAGCCATCTCTCCAGACCTCTGGTTTTTACATTTCTTTATTGTGTGTGCGCGCATGCATGCGTGTGCACACTCCTGTGTGTCACAGTGCATGTGGAAAGGTCAGAGAACAACTTGCAGGAATTGATTCTCTCCTAGCAAGTGCGTTCCAGGGGTCAAACTCAGGTTCTCAGGCTTGGTGGCACATGTCTATGCACACTGAGCCATTTTGCAGGCCTGAGTCTATATTTTTTCCAGTCTTTGTGTGTGTGTGTTTGTTTGTTTTTTTTGTTTGAGACAGTGTTTCTCTGTGTAGTCCTGGCTATCCTGGAACTTGCTCTGTAGACCAGGCTGGTCTTGAACTCAGAGATCTGCCTGCCTCTGCCTCCCGAGTCCTGGGATTAACAGCGTGCACCACCACCACTGCCCAGTTTACATTTCTTTTTTTTTTTTTTTTTTTTTTTGGTTTTTCGAGACAGGGTTTCTCTGTGTAGCTTTGCGCCTTTCCTGGAACTCACTCTGTAGCCCAGGCTGGCCTCGAACTCACAGAGATCCGCCTGGCTCTGCCTCCCGAGTGCTGGGATTAAAGGCGTGCGCCACCACCGCCCGGCTACATTTCTTATTAAATGAAAATATTCAAACTGGGTGTGGTGGCACATGCTTGTAGTCCCAGCACTTGGGAGGTGGAGGTAGAAGGATCAGGAGTTCAGGATCATCCTCTGCAACATGGTGAGTCTGAGGCCTGAGGCAAACCTGAGCTACATGAAACCCTGCCACAGTAAAACAAAAATTAAACATTTAAAAGGGTCACACACAAACAAGCACAAGGAAACACAAACACATATGAGACATGCACTAGACAGGGAAATGTTCAAATCTTGCAACTCCCATGTATTAGCTGTGCACCTCAATTTCTTATTTTGCAACACGGAATAGTGATTAGGTGGTTGTGATGCTTAGTGGGACCTGCTTATCCAGCACTGGCATACAGCATTCTGCTCTAAATGTTAGCAATTGCTATAGACCATGTTTGCCCGTTCTCACATGTGCTCACATGTGCACTCTCTCCTCAGCCCGGTCCTCTGGTCCAGCTCATTTGAAGATGCTGGTTCAGCTGACAGTCCTGGCCAGAACCATCAGAAAAGAACAGTTGCTTCCCTGCACCCCCTGGCCTAACCTGGGCTAGCCTGTGTGGTAAGAAGGTGCTTTGAATCCCATCAGAAGCTTCCTGGAGGAGGCCTGCACCCAAGCCAAGTAAGGGATCCAGGTACAAGCAAGAGGGCGCTACTGCCCTGTGCCCTGTGTGTTGGCTCCCTCCCTGACTCTTTACAACACGTTTCCCCCCAACCTCTCCTGCAGTACCCCCTCCCTTCCCCACAGTAGAAACTTTCCTCTACTCCTGCCAGAGTGTAAATTGCCCCCAGGAATGTGCTGCACCCCACCGCTCCCCTAGCAGTGGCCAGCGGCTGTCCTGGGGTCAGGCCTGGCCCTACATCAAAGGCTCAGGAGCGGTAACAGCCGCAACAGCGTGTCTCCGCCTGCCGCCACCCTCCCCTCCCACTAGCGCTGCCTTCCAAGGAACAGCACATGGTAGCACTTAAGCTCCAGGAGGACGGAGGATGCTTTCCTTGCACCCCCACCTCCCACCAGCCACAATGAACTACTTGTTAGGAGACTATTTTAATTTTACTTAATGCGATTTCAGCTCCTAAGGCCTCTGCTGCCGTCACTTCTTGGACCGGGATGCCCAGCATAAATGGAAGGGAAGTCAACCTCCCAGGAGGTGTAGCTTAAATATGGAGCCTTCACTGAGGTGGGGTCTGGGGCAGGAAGAGGACTGTTACCTCAGGGTCCCGGGCTGGGGCCCTGGACTCCACTCAGGAAATAAGGGGGACTGGTTAAGGGAGGGCTCAGAGCTAGCTTGTACAATTCAGGAGGCCAGCCTGACTTTGGAGTGTGCGCTGCCAGACGGCCTCGGCCAATAGATTCTTCCAATGCCTGGAGTTTAGCAGGCAGAGGATTAGCCTAGTGGCCACGTGAGCTTTGCTCTTGGGTCTCCTGGGGCCATCTAGAGGAGGATATTCCAAGCTCTGGCAAGCCTCTAAGATTTAGTCCATCAGGTGCATCTTCTAGCAAATAAAAAAACAAAAAAACCAAGAGTCCAAACAGTCACTTCTCGGGACAGTAAGGTGGTGATCTGGAGACCTCTGGTGGCTGAAGGCTGCGGAGCCCGACTTGTCCGGAGCTCTGCCCAAGCAGCCTGACCTAAAGGCTGTCCTTTAGCCCCAGAACTCAGTCTCAAGCTAGGCTCTCCAGAACCGCTCCCGACTAGTCAGCGCTCCCCCCCATGACCCCCCCCTCCGACCCAGAAGAACCCTTCTCTAGTGCCTCATCTGGCTGGAGGAGAGTGGATGGTACACCAGGGAGGGTGAGGGATGGCTGACGGGTGCCCAAACTACATTCCACTGACCACAGGGGTGAACACAGGTGTGTGGTGGGGTGTAGGAAGTTAGACTGCTAGGGCAGCCCCCCTCTTTCCTCTAGTACCCCTGGTGTGCACATCACTCAATTGTGGGGCCGTGGGTGGGAAAAACCACCAAGAGATGCCTTGTTTCCACAGCTTGCGACCCCCGTGATGTTTAAGTTATTTCTGGGAAAGGAAATTTCCAAAACCTCATACTGAGACGGCTGCTGGGAAGCAGAATAGGGCACATGGAGAGGAAGAAAGAGCCCCCGGTCGGGGAAAAGGGCAGGGCGGTTGATTTTTTGACAGGGTGCACACAGACCACACTGAGCTTTTCCTGTGAGTTCCAACCGTCGCCTCCTCGTCCCTGTCATTCATTCATTCAAATCTGGTACGACTGGACGGACGTTATGTATGCTGAGTCCTAGCATTCCAGTTACCAAACAAAGTGCCCAGGAAGAAGGTAAGAGGCCCCAGGATGGGATCCTAGAGGTTAACCTTCCCTCTACTTGGGGAATAAACATGACCTCACTCCCCAGTGGCCCAGCCCAGCTGTGAGGCAAGTCTTGTGCAAACCACCTCCTTGCTGAGGCCTCAGAACCCTCATCCTGTCCTGAGGAACCAATCCATGTTTCTCGCATGATGCACCTGTAACTGGCTCTCTTCAGGCCTGTTAACGGAGGAAAGCCTTGAGTCCAGTTTCGCAGTAACTTCCCAAGGTCAAGGCCCTAGGCTGTCCCGAAGAACTGGCCTGAGACAATCTCTGCCTCCTCCCTTTAAAAGCGACCTGGGGTCTGGAGAGATGGTTTAGTGGTTAAGACCATTGGATGTTTTCCCAGAGGTCTGCAAGTTGACCCCCAGAACTCACAGTGTGGCCACAAGCAGACAAAACACCTATAAACATAAATCAAGTTTAAAACATTAAAAAAAACAAAAAAAAAATAAAAAAAAAACCCTATCTGGGGCCAACAAGATGGCTCAGGGGATAAAGGCACCCCCTGCCACACCTGACAGCCATTTGATCCCCAGAACCCAGGGGGTGGTAGAAACCAACTCCCCAAAGTTGTCTTCTGATCTCTACAGCAGGCCACAGCATGTGAGTCCACACACACACACACAGACACACAGACACACACAGACACACACACACAGACACACACACACACACACACACAGACACACACACACACACATACACACACACAGACACACACACAGACACACACACACACACACACACACACACACACAGATACACACAGAGACACAGACACACACACACACAGACACACACACACACACACACACACACACACACACACACAGACACACACACACACACATACACACACACAGACACACACACAGACACACACACACAGACACACACACAGATACACACAGAGACACAGACACACACACACACAGACACACACACACACACACACACACACACACACACACACACACACACGATGTAATTTTAAATACCCACCTAGCTCTAGTGAAACAGGTCTCAAAGTAAAGCTATCCCAAGCCACAAGTGCGAACCCTGCGTGTGAACCGGGCTCCAGAACAAGTGAAGAACAGGGGCTTTGTCGTCCTTGCTTCAAAGCCTGTTGTCCCAACACTTGATGGCTCTGTGACCTCAGGCAGCCTGCCTCGGCTTCTCCATGGAAACAGAATCACCAACCAGACACCCAGAGCAGATCTAGCATCTGCTGCTGTGAGCAGGACCCGGCACCAGGGCTCACACGCTCTTTTCTACTCAAACTTCACATGCTGAGCAAAAGGAAAACACGACAGGACTGGGATTCCACTCAAGAATGTGTCTTTATTGAAGAATTCGTAAGAAAAAAGGATGGACCCTCCGTAAAAAGAGGAGATGTTGTCTCCAAACAGCAGGGAGGAATGGACCTGGGTGGCTTCCCAGAAGCCGGCGCTTCCGGCATGACTGCCTTCCGTGGCCTGGCAAGACTACAGTATGTCACTACAGCCAGCAATTCCTACCCACCCCTTCCCAGCGCTCTCCTCCCTCCAGCCCAAGACTCCCCACAGCCACTGGCTTCGAGAAGGTTCGGGAGCAGATGTGTCAGGCTTGTCTCTTAAGGGGGTCAAAGTGGTTGCTTTGGAAAAGTCACAGGAATGTAAAATGGTTTGAACTCTTTTAGTCTAGCCAAGGGCAAGTACTTCCTGCCCCTCTGAAGAGAAACGGAGCAGAGAATCCCCTTTCTGAAGTGCATACTTGTAGGGCAAGCAGACTACCAGCCTGCTCTTTATTAGCATGAAGAATGGAAGTAAGGTCAGAAGAATATATAACATCGGCTCGAAAGTCTCTGAGTTCCGGGGACAGAGGGAGCCCCATCATCTCACCCAGCAGGTGCTGCTCACTCTTCTCCGGCCGGGAGATTGTCTTCAATCCTCCTGATGAACCTCATCCTGATCTCTGTTACACCATCTCCCTTCAGAGTGTCCTGGACAAACTTGGCCTCCACAGCCATCTGGACCTGAGGAACAGAAAGGGGGTGTCTAATCACAGCCTCTGCTGAACCCCTAAGGGTGAGCCTTGACCAGAAATGCCCATGGACTGGGATGTGTGTATGTGAAGATGACTAAAATGCACTATATATATATAAATTATATAAATGTATGAAACTTCCAAACTTTTTTGGTTTTGGTTTTTTGAGACAGGGTTTCTCTGTGTAGTCCTGGCTGTCCTGGAACTAGCTCTGTAGATCAGAGCTGGCCTTGAACTCACAAAGATCCCCCTGCCTCTTCCTCCTGAGTCCTGGGATTAAAGGCATGCACCAACACTATATGGCCCAAACTATTTATTTATTTATTTATTTTTAAAGATTTATTTATTATACATACAGTGTTCTGCCTGCGTGCCAGAAGAGGGCGCCAGATCTCATTACAGATGGTTGGGAGCCACCATGTGGTTGCTGGGAATTGAACTCATGACCTCTGGAAGAACAGCCAGTGCTCTTAACCGCTGAGCCATCTCTCCAGCCCTTTCATTTATGTTTTTCAAGACAGGGTTTATCTGTGTAGCTCTGGCTGTCTTGGAACTTGTTCTGTAGACCAGGCTAGCCTCGAACTCACAGAAATCCATCCGCCTGCCTCTGCTTCCCAAGTGTTGGGATTAAAGACATGTGCCACACCACCCAGCTCCTAACATTTATTTAAAGGGACTAATTTCCACAGGGACAGGGTTGCCAGCCCCAGTATTCCAACACCGAAGACAGTGGCCTCACACTGGATGTAGTGTCATTGACCTGTAACCCCAGTACTAGACAGGAAGAGGCTGGGGGCAAATTTGAAGATAGCCTGGTCTACATATTGAGCAATTTGATTCCCAAGCTAATTAGGGCTGGAATGAGGCTGTCTCAAAAAAAAAAAAAAAAAAGAAAGAAAGAAAGAAAAAGAGAGAGAGAGAGGAGAAAGGAAGGAAGGAAGGAAGGAAGGAAGGAAGGAAGGAAGGAAGGAAGAAAGAAAGAAAGAAAGAAAGAAAGAAAGAAAGAAAGAAAGAAAGAAAGAAAGAAAGAAAGAAAGAAAGGGAAAGGAAAGGAAGGAAAGAAAAGAAAAGAAAAGAAAGGAGGAGGTTATTTTCCAAGATGAGGGAGAATTCATCGCCAGCTGGGCTCCAGTCCGCTTAGACCGTGGCCCGGAAGCCGTCTGGGAACCCACTGCTGACTGCACTCTCTCAGCCTGTCAGGAAGGAAGGTGTCTGCCGTGGTTCTGCACCAGCAGCACTCTCCCCTCGGACAGCAAGGGGCTGGGGTAGCCTTTTCTCTCCCATTCGGACAAGCATTTACCAAACAGCCCCCCCCAGCTCAGGGAGAGCTGCACTCACCATCTCCAAGGCCCCCCGCAGCACCCCACACAGGAGGTTGGAATAAATAAGGGACGAGTGATTATCGGGAAGCTCCACGAAGTCCACCAGCGGGTTATTTTCCAAGATGAGGGAGAATTCATCGCCAGCTGGGCTCCAGTTTGTGACACTCGGAGTGATGCCCAAGTACATCTTGAATGCCACCTGTCGGGGAACACACAATAGCACTATGGCGAAGAGTGACAGAACTGTACCACTGGGAAGGTGTCAGCGAAGGGTCACTTAGGACAACACTGTGACCTCCAAATCTTCAGAGACCTGGGGAAGAGAGGTGCCCATGCAGGACTCCGTGCCTCCAGGCGGCACACAACTACACACCAACTCACTCTCTGCCTGCCTGTCTCACTGGAAGGGCAGCCGCCTTCCACTGAAATCTGAATGAGGAATTATTTTTGCTTTATTTCTTCTTTCTGGAGACAGAGTCCTACAGTGTAGCCCAGGCTGGCCTGGAGCTGACTACACAGCCTACATTGGCCTTGAACTTGTAGCAATTATCCTGCCTTTGTCTACTCAGGGCTGGAATTACAGGCCTGAGTCACATCTGGCCCAAAATGCATACTCTCAAATTTCCTCGGTACTGTGCTACACTTTCAAAGTGGAGGAATCGGGCTTTAGTTTCAGTGAGACAAACAAACCTGCAGCCTTCGTCTGTCTGTACGTAGGATTTTGCTATATGGCCATGGCTGATCTAGAATTCAGCACACAGACCAGACCAGCCACAAATTTGTTGTGACTCTGCTGTGTCTGCCTCCCAAGTGCTGGGATCACAGGCATACGCCACTCTAGTCAGCTACAGCGGGGCTAGAATGCACAAGACAGACCTCAACCACTCTTGAGTCTTTCCTAATCTGTTATTTCCAAACCACCAGGAAGGCTTCTTTGGTCCAAAGAGCTGCCCAATCAGTCTTTTGGGAGACTAAGGGAGACAGTAAGAGTGGTAGGTAGTGCCTCCCAATGGCAAGCTTCAGTGGGCAGGTGGCCCAGGTAAACGACCTTAGCAATGACATCCGCAGTTTCCCGAAAGTCATGACATCTTCCAACATTTGAGCGTGCCAAAAAATCTTCAATTAGTCGGACTCCAATGTTATAGCCCCTTGGAAGAAAATCAGAGAACAGACCATTAAGGGGTCACAGCATCTTATATAATGTCTTCTATGTAAACAAAATATCTTTGTCGGCTAAAAGAGAAGATGGGAATAACCCAAACACCCTCACGAATGAGCTCAGTGGAAACTGTACCCAAATGCTGGCCTCACAGAACAGCCACACTCAGTGTGCTGCGGGCCTGCGCTGTGTCTAGTGAGGGAGGCGCTCACTCACATTCTGTCCAGCTGCTTATTCACATCTTCATCATTTTCATAGTCCTTGCACAGCTGGGTGACAAGCGCTCCATAGGTCAGGGTGAATAGCTCAGAACTCTGAAAGAGATCAGAAGGCCATCAGGACCCAGCAGCACGAGGTGAGGGTTCAGTTGGATCAGCCTGGCTGCAACCACCAGGATTCCAAGGGAAGGCCACCTGGATGCCTATGTCTGGAGGACATCACCCCTGTGGAGGGGCCAGCATGACAGGAGGGCACCCACACCCACTACACACTGGCTACAGAAGGCACATCTTTTTTTTTTTTCTTTTTTTTTGTTTTGTTTTTTTCGAGACAGGGTTTTTCTGTGTAGCTTTGCGCCTTTCCTGGAACTCGCTTTGGAGACCAGGCTGGCCTCGAACTCACAGAGATCCACCTGCCTCTGGCTCCCAAGTGCTGGGATTAAAGGCGTGTGCCACCACCGCCCGGCAGAAAGGCACATCTTCTAACACACCAACCCAGTCTACCACAGCGTGGGTCACCTGAACCTGGAGTGGGAGGAACAGCCACTCACTGGATTCTGTGAAAGATGGAGCCAAGGCAGACTTTCACACCAGCCTCTGTGTGTTAGCAGATGTGACCAATGACTTCCCCAAACCTTAGAGCAAGTCTTCTCAACCTGTGGGTCATGACCCCTTTGGGGTCAAACAACCCTTTCATAGGGGCGGCCTAAGACCATCAGAAAACACAGGTGTTTACATTATGATTCACAGCAGTAGCAAAACTACAGTTATGAAGTAGCAATGAAAATAATTTTACCGTTGGGGGTCCCTACAACATGAAGAACTGTATGAAAGGGTGGCAGCATCAGGAAGGTTGAGAACCATTGCCTTAGAGGGTTCTGGCATGGGGTTAAGCTGTACTCCCAAGGCTTGGGTTCTCTGATGCCTATGGGAAGAGCTGGCAACTCATGGGACTGGGCTGGCAGAGAAGAAAGTCCTAGAGAGCCCATTACCCTGAAGATAACCTCCCCTCAAAGTCACCAGCATGGGGGTGGGGGTTAATGATCCTTTTGACACAATGCTAAAATATTTCTAAAAAGTGCATCAATCTAAAATGAATACAATATTGGAGTGAGGAGATCTTCAGTTTAGGGTTCCTACTGCTTTTCCAGAGCATCTAGGTTGGGTTCCTAGAGCCCACATCCGGTGGCCCACAACCTCCTAGAACTCCATTTCCAAGGGGTCCAACACCCTCTGGCCTCAGCAGGCACCTGCAGGCACATGGTGCAAACAGACTCACGCAGGCAAACACACAAACACAAGACAATAATAAATGATCTTTAAAAATAAAATAATAGTTGAGTAGTGGTGGCGCACGCCTTTAATCCCAGCACTCGGGAGACATAGACAGGAGGATCTCTGCGAGTTTCAAGGCCAGCCTGGGCTACAGAGTGAGTTCCAAGATGGCCAGGGCTATGCAGAAAAACTGGTCTCAAAAAGAAAAATAAAACAAAAATTTAAAAATTTAAATAAAACACACACACACACACACACACACACACACACACACACACACACACGCACACACACATACACACACACCCCTGCATGAGGACATGTGTGCCAGTCAGAAGACAACCTTTGAAAGTAAGTTCTCTCCTTCTGCTCTGTGGGCTCCAGAGATCCATCTCAGGCTGCCAGACTTGGCAGCAAGCGCCTTTACCCACTGAGCCGCCTCAGCAGGAACACACATCCTGTACACCCGGGACACAAGACTGATCCACACTGGTTTCTATCACTGTGCTGCTTAGTCTTCTGTCACTGCTGTCATCTGGGAAGAGGGACCCTCAATGAGGAAATGCTTACATCAGACTGCCTGTAGGTCAGCCTGTGGGGACATTTTCTTGACTAATGATTTTTAACATTTTACAAATATTGCTGTGTCTGGGTGACTGCCTGCATGTAAGTATGTGATACCATGTATATGCCTGGTGCCCACGGAGGTCAGAAGAGGGCAAATACTAACCCCTGGGACTGAAGTTAGGGATGGTTGTGAACCATCGTATGGGAGATGAGAATTGGACCCCCAGGTCCTCCGCAAGAGCAACAAGCACTCTTCACCACTGCGCCGCCTCTCCAGCCCCTTGACTGAGGCCTGACGTGGCAGGGCCTACCATCAGTGGCGCCACCACCTGGTGACCCTGGGCTGTACAAAAAGAACAAGCCGGTAAACGGCACTCCTCTTTGGTCTGTGCTTCAGTTCCTGCCTACGTGTTTCTGCCCTGACGTTCTCAGTGCTGGACTGTGACTGGATCAGGCAAGCCAAATAAACCATGCCCTCCCCAAGCTGCTTTTACTCACAGTCTTTATCACGTCAGTCGAAGGCCAACTAGAGCAGAAACTGGTTCCAGAAGTGGGGCACTATTGTGACAGACCTACCATGCTAAAAACCACGCAAGTTTTTTAAGATAGAGACTCTTGCTGGAGAGATTATTCGGTAGTTAAGAGCATGTACTGCTTTTGCAGAGAACTTGAGTTTAGTCTCCAGCACCCACAGAAGGCACACAAACATCTAGAACTCCAGCTCCAGGAGAATCCAAGACTTCTGTCTCCTTGGGCACCCACACTCAAATGCACGTACCCACCAACGTCAGACACACATACACAATTTAAAATAAAAAGAAACCTTAAGAAAGAAAGAAAAAGGGAGCTGGAGAGATAACCCAGTAGTTAAGAGCATGTATTGTTCTTGCAGAGGACTTGAGTTCGATTCCTAGCACGCACATCAAGCAGTTCACAACTGCTTGTAACTCCAGCTCCAGGGGATGGCCCTAACCTCAGGTACATGCACATATACAGATTTATACACATGTACAAATAAATAACAATAAAAATATTTTGCTGGACGGTGGTGGTGAACACCTTTAATCCCAGCACTCAGAAGGCAGAGTCAGGTGGATCTCTGTGAGTTTGAGGCCAGCCTGGTCTACAGAGCAAGATCCAGGACAGGCACCAAAACTACACAGAGAAACCCTGTCTCGGAAAAAAAAAAAAATGTAAAAGAAAGAAAGAAATCTTACTAGGACTGGGTAGTTTAGTTCAGTCCATAGAGTACTTTGTTTGATCCACAGCATTGAATTTGATCCACAGCAACACATACACATACATTAAAAATAGAAAAATGGGGCCAGCAAGATGGCCCAGAGGGCAAACACCTTTGCCAACAAGCCTGATGGCCTGAGTTTGATCCCGTAGCTCCACATGTTGGAAAGAGAGAACAAATCCTGCAAATTGTCCCCTGACCCCTGCCACAGGTGCCATGGCACATGTGTGTGCACCTACATACATAAATAAATAAAGAAATGTAAAAAACATTTGAAAAACCAAAGTCACATATGTATTCAATGTGAGTTCCACCTAGGTTGGCCTCAGTTCATACTAGGCTGGTGATACACTCAGTGATATAGTACATGCCCATGAGTTTGGTCTCCAGTACCACACACACACACACACACACACACACACACACACTTACCAACCAAGAAACAGAAGTGTGAGAGGAACTGCAGATACTGAGACTCCAGAAAAAAAAAAAAAAAAACAAAAAAAAAAAACAACACCAAGACTGCTGGCAGTGAAGAATCACTATTGGAGTTAAAGTGAAGAATGTATTTGTGGTGCTGAGGAGCAAACCCAGGGCGCTGGGCACTCCAGGCAAGCCCTTTGCCACTGAGGTATGTCCCCAGCCCTGAGAAACAGATCAACGGCACATCTATTCCAATGGATCCTCTCAGAAATAAGGCTGAACAACAACAACAAAATAATCGCTCGATCAAGATCGCCACCTTGCCACTCCCTTCTGAAGAGAGGCTTGTCAGATGTGGAGGAAGTCACTCTGACTTCAGGACTTCTGAGGAAAGAACCCAAAGCATCAGCCACGACGCCTGTCCGGAACAGGCTACTTTTCCTGATCTTGTAAAAACTCAGGAAAGCAGAATGGGTAGTGACTGACCCAGAAGAGATACTGAGACCAGAAAGAGGAATGATCAGCTCAAGGTTAAACAGCTAAGTACTGAAACAGGAACCTGCAGGGATGAAACCCAAGTGTTTCCCAGGCAGTATTCACTGTATCCGCTCTACCCCATGACTGCAACATTAATAAGCCCCCTCAATTAAAACAAATCTTAGATGCACTAGAGTCAAAGGAAATCAATTTTGGGAGCAGGAGGCTCTCTGAACTCAACTAAAACAGTCAGACCAGGGCATCTCCAGGAGACCATTTGCCAAATATGGCAATTGAAAGGAAGCTATTAAGGAGGAATGATTTCTTAGTAAAGTCAAGGGTTTGGCACTAGAGCGGCCTGAACATGAATGGATGGAGGCAATCCAGCTGTTACCAGTCCGGAGAGCTGGCACGGGTGCATTAAGTCAGGAGAGCTTTCCTTCCATTATCAATGAGCCCTTGGATGAACTCCAAGAGCCTCCGCCCACCATGACTGCCAAATTATATGCAAATCACAATGTGATGAAGCTCCTTACATGTGCAGCTCCCCAGTTCACCAGTAGGAAAAGACAGGGAGGGTCCTAGACAGCTGTGCTCACTGCCACAACAGAGATGTGCCTGGAATCTAGGAGTGGGGATCCTCACTCAGGTTCTCCACATCTTCTATTACTAGATGCAAATCCCCTTCCAGCCTCAGTTATGGACCTAGCCTGTTCAGAACAAGAGCAACATGAATGTGTAACTCAAGGTCTTCATACTTTTAAAACTGAAGTGGTGCAGAGCTGGAGAGATGGCTCAGTGGTTAAGAGCACTGGCTGCTCTTCCAGAGGCCCTGGGTTCAATTCCCACATGGAGGCTTGGGGGCTCACAACTGTCTATAACTCCAGTCCCAGGGGATCCAATACCTCCTCAGGTACCAGACACACACATGGTATGCAGACATACATGCTGGCAACACACACACATAAAATAAATAAAATAAAATAGGAGTGCAGCTATGGTATAGCTAAAAACAAACAATGAACGTCAGGGAAGGCTCACTAAAGTGGTATTTGTGTGAAGACCTGACTGTTTGTGAAGACTAATAATAACTCTACTAAGGTGGCCAGTCAACAATGTCACTTGTGTACCGTCAGCTTTATATGCATTTTCTTTTTTTTTTTTCGAGACAGGGTTTCTCTGTGTAACAGCTCTAGCTGTCCTGGAACTTGCTTTGTAGACCAGGCTGGCCTCAAACTCATAGAGATCCACCTGCCTCTGACTCCTGAGTGCTGGGATTAAAGGTATGAGCCACCATGCCTGGCTATATTTGTTTTCAATTAATTACAGCCCTGTAATGTCAGTATATCTACCACTACTACTTCCTTAATAAAAAAAATATTTTCGGCCGGGCGGTGGTGGCGCACGCCTTTAATCCCAGCACTCGGGAGGCAGAGCCAGGCGGATCTCTGTGAGTTCGAGGCCAGCCTGGTCTACAAAGCGAGTTCCAGGAAAGGCGCAAAGCTACACAGAGAAACCCTGTCTCGAAAAACCAAAAAAAAAAAAAAAAAAAAAAAAAAAAAAAAAAAAATATTTTCTATATACAGTTCGATTGGCTTTGAAAACTATAAATTTATAAACTCAAGTTCCATTTGCTTTTGGGATACCATCTTACAAGGACTCCAATTTGCAATAAGGCTCCTTAAGGAAGGGAATGGCTCAGTTGCCTTTAGCCTACTGGCTATGGGTGGGATAGGACCTCTGTTGGTCTTTTCTGTGTCGAACACACAGATTGCAAGCCCAGCGCCACTTTGAGATCTTTGGCAGCAGTTAATTCTGCAGCTCACACACACGATTGAGCCAGTATGATAATGAGTATTCAGAGACGGGTAATACCTGGGGGGCACTCACCAACCTAAGACAGAGCGCCGGTGTGGCCTGGGCAGGTGTCTCCATGACGGGTAAGGTGACCTGCTGATGTCCCACGCAACCTAAGTCAGAAGCTCATTTTCTAGTAAAAGGGGAACCTGTAGGGTCCTGGCCCCCGTTTTGGATAACTGTTGCCTTGCTTGTTGACCTTGACCTTGATATCTTCCCTATGCTAATTCCCTGCCGGGTTCCACCCTCCTGAATGCTTAGGGGAAGTTCCTTGTCTGTGTATCCTGCATAATGGGCGTTAACAGTTTAGATGCAAGATTGTAAAACATCTGTAGCGAACTTCTGCCCCCCAGGGTTTTCCCATTGTGCTGTAAGCCTGTATTTAAGATCTCTTCCCTCCTTCAATAAACAGCACTCGGCATTAAATAAAATTAAAAAAAAAAAAGTAAAACATTTTCAAAAGATGATGAAGCCAGTGCTCAGAGTTCAGTCCCCAGCATTGTGTGTGTGTGTGTGTGTGTGTGTGTGTGTGCGCGCGCAAATAAGCAAAAAAACAGGACCCAGTCCCAGCCAGTACAATATCCCTGTTGTTGAGAACATTTCTGTCTATGTCACACATGCTTACTAAAGGTAGAGTCTAGGACTTCATCTCCGCATCTACCACAGTACCTAATAAGGAGCTCTGTACATAGTTGGGGCTCAGGTAAAGTTTGCTGGACAGACTGTATCATTTTTGTTTGTTTGTTTGTTTGTTTGTTTGTTTGTTGTTTTGCCTGCCTCTACCTCCCAAATGCTGGGATTAAAGATGTACACCACTACCACTTGACCCAGATTGACTATTTCTGTTAGCAGGGACAAAAAACAGCAGACATAAGATTACCTGTTTATGTGAAATACAGTAATTATGTGCTCAAGGCTGGACTACTTGGAAGAGGGTCACTAGAGGTGTATTGTCTCTAAACAGGGAAAAGGAGCATGTCAATACCAGGTACTTTGGCTCAGTAGGCAGAGGCACCTGCTGCCATGCCTGATAACCTAAGTTAGATCCCCAGAACCCACATGGGGGGAAGAGAGAAACCGACTACAGCAAGTTGTCCTCTGACCTCCACACAAATACTATGGCACGCGCGCGCGCGCACGCGCGCGCGCGCGCGCACACACACACACACACCCCTACTGGCTAATTTTATATCAAAAGAAGGGAACCTCAATTGAGAAAATGTCTTTATAAGATCTGACTGTAGGACATTTTCTTTTTTTTTTTTTTTTTTTTTTTTTTAAGATTTATTTATTGATTACATATACAGAAGAGGGAGCCAGATCTCATTACAGATGGTTGTGAGCCACCATGTGGGTGCTGGGAATCGAACTCAGGACCTCTGGAAGAGCAGTCAGTGCTCTTAACCTCTGAGCCATCTCTCCAGCCCCATTTTCTTGATTAAAGGTTGATGGGGGCAGGGTGGCAGTAGTGAATGCCTTTAATCCCAGCACTTGGGAGGCAGAGGCAGGCAGCGGATCTCTGTGGGTCCTGGGCCAGCTTGGTGTACAGAGTGAGTTCATGGTCAGTCATGGCTATGTACAGAGACCCTGGTTCAAACAAATAAAACAGAAACAAAGAACATCAATACTGATTCCAGGAGAAAAGAAACACACACTGAAAACAAGATATAAAGGAATAAATACCTCTGCTCCTATCTACCAAAGAAACACCATCCCTTAAACTTAACACTATCTCATCTAAGCTTAGTATCACTGTCCCCATTTCATAGCTAAGAAAACTAATGACCAACTGAGAATGCCAAGGAACACAAGCATTTTCTTCAACACGACATTGTTCATGACATTGTTTTCTAGCACAACATTCTCTTCAACTATTGTTACTTCTTCCAGGAATTAATAAATTTCCTCTGTGTGTGTGTGTGTGTGTGTGTGTGTGTGTGTGTGTGTGTGCACTGCTTAGCTACATCCTCAGCGCCCCGAAAGCAATTCTTAACTTGTAATCCATACAGTATATTTAGAGACCCACAAATCCCTGGAAAAGGCAAACAAATGTACCGGTATGATGCAAGTGTTCTGCGTTTGGTGTCTGTAGTGCTAGGATCAAACCTAGCCTCAGTCACTGAGTTTGTGTATTAATATTTGTGTAGAGGTGATTCATTGCTGTCATTGGTTTCTCGAAAGCGCTCTGAGCGAGAAAAGGTTAAGAACTAGCCTGGAATAGCAGAGCTTCCATTTGTGGAGGCTGTTCTTGGTGTAAGATGTGAAGGTGTGAAGGGAATCTGGTCATCCTGTCTAGAGTGGAGTACCAACATAGGTCCCCTTAGACTGTCGGGTTGACTTTTGGTGAAGACTGAACTCAGAGTATCCTGCATATGCACGCTGCCACTGAGCTCCATCCCTAATGTGATGCTCTGTCACTGTGATCCCCCGCTCTCCAGCACCGATCTGTATGTCTGTGTGTGTTAAAAAAGATTTCAAGTAGCCCAGGCTGGCCTCCATCTTATTATGGGCTGAGGATGACTTTTTGAATTCCTGATCCTTCTGCCTCTACCATCACAGTGCTGGGGATTACAGCCATTCATGACCAAGCTAGTTTATATGGTGCTGGGAATTAAACCCGGGGCCCTGTGCAGACACTCTACCAACTTGATCTACATCCCCACCCCCAGATACTGAGTTTTAAATTCCAAAACAAAGCCATGGCATGGGCAGTTTGGCAAAATAAGCTAAAGAAGCCAGCAGTGGTGGTGCACACTGTTCTTGGAATGTGTTTTCATGCTCCTCCCAGGTTATCGGATAGGAGTGAGTTCGCTTTAGATTACTTATTACAACTGTCTATTGTTATTTGTTTAGATGCCCCATGGGAAAAATGTGTTCTTACCAGGTGTGGCTTCTCCTTGTGACTGAAATCTTACTCATGTGATTCTTCTTAACTGGGAGGCAGAGACAGGCAGATCTCTGAGTTTGAGGCCAGCCTGGTCTCCAGAGTTAATTCTAGGACAGCCAGGGCTACACAAACCCTGTCTTGAAAAACCAACCCCCCCCCCCCAAAAAAAGACTACGATTAAAAAAAAAAAAGAAACACCTGCCAGGAAAGCCTCTTAGCTTGGAGAAAACTGCTATCTACCTTACTCTCCAGCCCCAGCCCAGCCTTTGGGGATTATATTCTGTCCCACTACTCCCAGGATGGGAAAGAAACCACAGCAACCCTCCCTTATCCTCTCAACGATTAGAGGGCCCACTGAGTACTCAGGCTGGCTCACCACTTAATGTGGTAGATGGAAAGTTCCCTTCTGACAAGATCACTATCTAAGCTCACAAAACCCAGAGCACAGTGAGAGACTCTTTACTCTCTCTACTCAGTAGTCTGAAACATTCCCTCTGGAGGTGGAGAGGCATGGGTTCAAATCCTAACTCTTCCTGGGTGTAATATTGGGTATCACATAACCTCCCCGAGCTGTAAAAGGCCATAACATTATCCACCTAGTAGGGTTACCTTGTGGGAATGACATAATGTAAGTAATGCCCTAGTACCAAACACACAGTAAGAGATCAGTAAGTGGTTGTTACTGTTATTGATTACCGTCGCTGTTGTTGGTCTAGTACAGAGTTGCACCCGACCTCGAGAGACCCCGGCGTAGCGAGCAGAGGAGGAAACTCAGAGGTCCTCCAAGGTGCCCCAGCGCTGGACGCTTAGGGACAGACCCATCATGGGACCTCCCCAGCCTACAGCTCACAGCAGTACTCTTGACAATCACTTAGAGCGCCAGCACCAGGCCCTTTCCCAGGAAGCTTCAATTCCGCCCGGCCCGCCGGGTTACGCGCTCAGAGTTACCATTTTCTTGCTCTCGGTGCCACGGTTCGCCTGTCTCGACATGGTGCCCACCGTGCAACGCCGCCTCGCTTCACCTCGTCGCAGCCCTGGTGCCAGACCCCTGGAGACACCGATTCAACCCAGCCGCGGCCCCTCAGCCTCTGACCGGCCCCGCCTCACCGCGCCTGCGCAGTCTGGCGCGGAGCACCATGGGACTTGTGGTTCGGCCGACCAAAGTCAGACTACAGCACCCGTCAGTCCCACCGGAAGTCCCGCCCATTGTTCAGCGAGCGCCGCTACTCCCCGAGTGCAGCAAGCGCCGTCCTGGCTGTGCCATTCTGGCCGCTAGGTGGCATCCGCACCTTGTGATAGTCCTATATTGTCCACCGTGTCCTTACTTCCCTCCCCCACGACTGGCTCCGGGAGGCTCTGCAAATTCCTCCGTCTCCCGGATTGGTTTTGGAAAGTCCCCGTTTTGAACTGGCTTCTTCTGTTGCTGCAGTTCAGCCCCAGAAGCTCCCAGGACGTCCTGGAAAACTGGCCATGGCTCACACAGAGATCTAAGTTCATTATAAAAAGTTTGAATGACCACATACTCTGTATCAGGCTAGTTAATGGCTTTCTCTTTAAACTGCCATCTGTTCCCAAACCCCAAACACAGTCAGCCCCTGCATCCTACCACCTGTGGCCTAATGATCCAGTCTTTTAAAATAAATTCCAGGTCACTAGTCACTTTCTCACCCTCCCTTCTCTGAAACAGCTACACTGCCTAGTTCCCAGAAAACAAAGATGCCAGCTGTGGTGGCAGTCAGTGCCGAGTTCTAATCCCAGGCTTGCCATCTGAGGGCAGGTGCTGGAGTTCCCTCAGTTGCTGCGAAGACTGATGCGATATTAGCACAGATACTGGGCACAGAAAAGGCACAGAGTAAATGCGATTCCCTTCTAGCTACGCTATCAAAACAGTCTAACAAAATCAAAACACAACCCAACAAACGATGAGGAATGTGCTAGCTGACCAAACCCTCCTCCCCCATCACCCAGGCAAAATCCTATTCACTGACCACAGACAGCCCTTTGGGTTTGGCCCCAGCCATCTCTCCTTAGTGGTCAACCCTGAAGGCACTGTGCTGGGGATCACTTCTGCTTGTTTGCCTGACGCCACAGCAGCTGTATACTATGATGCTCCCCACCACCCGGCCTTCACCATGACAACTGGCCGGTCCAGATACCGAGCTAGCCAGGCTGGGAGAAGGCTGGAGGGGCCCAGGGTTCTTCCAGTGTCTCCTTGGGGGTATAGGGCCAGTCATTATTATACCCTTCTCCCTGTGGCACAGACATTCTGGGGCCTCCCTAGAGGCAGAGATCCCTGACTCTCCATCCTGTGCCATGACCTCAGGAGAGGCTACAAAGTGAGGATCTGGGGACATGAGGGTCTGTGAACGGGGCAGAGGAAAGCAGGGGTCTCGAGCCTTGGGAGACCAGCACAGCTAGACAAGAGCCTCCTGCATTCCCAGGAGAGAGGACAGCTGAGGTGAAGACTGCAGTTGGCCAGCCTGTCTGTCGGTCTGGGCTCCTCCCAGCAGGCTGCCTTGGCTGCCCACAGAAACCTGAGTCACAGTCACGGCCAGCCGCCTGACCCCACCCAGCCTGCTGTCAGGCAGGGCGGTTCTGGACAGACTGGAGGTGGAGCCTCTCCCTGCCTTCTGATTATTCATCTCTGCCTGTGATTCCTGCACTTGGCCCTGCTTTCTCTTTGCGCCTCCTGGGACTCATCTCCTCAGAGTCATCAGTTTTGAATTAAGGGTGGGGGTGGGGCCTGTGTATTGATCTCTAAGGTCTCATCTCTGCTCAGACTGAAACCTAAAAACTCCTTGGGAAAGGGGTATGGCTCAGGAGTAGAGTGCATGCTTTGTATGGGCAAGGTCCTGGGTTTCATCTCCAGCACAAACCAAACTCCCTACACAGCAGGTCCCAAGTTCTCAGTACCGTTTCCATTATTTTTGAACTCCAACCCCTCCCCATCACCTCTAGGGAGTAGGATGTTTAGGAAACCAGATATCCCTTCCCACCCTCACCTCCTGTTCCCTAGAAAAGAAGGCATCGGGAACATAAGAAACTCAAGGTCATCCTCAGCTACACAGCGTGTTCAAGGCCAGCCTGGGCTACAAGAGACCTAGTCTCAAAAAAAAAAAAAGAAAGAAAGAAAGAAAAAAAAAAGGCTACAGAGCCGATTTCTCATCCCAAGTAGGAGCTTTGAAGAAAGATTTCCTCCAAGGCACCCAAAAGCTTGACCTCTGTAGTACTGAATGTTAGTTCCTCCTGACTCCAAACCTCTGCCCTTCCTCCTTCTCAAGAGCTAGAGGGAGAGAGGCAGCTGGTCACCACTACCCCAAGGACATTTCCCAGTCCCAGTCTCAAGCAGTGGGCCCTGGAGGCTAAGGATGCTTTGGAGAGGCCGTCTAAGTCACAGCTGCTCCTCTTCTTTGTGCGTTGAGGTAGGGGTGGAGTGGGAGTGAGAATCTGGTGGCTGTTCTTTCCGCCGCCCCCCAAAAGGCTCCTCCCACTTCCTATTTTGTGGGGGTGGAGGCAACGTCCCAGGCCTCTGTCCTGAGATTTGTACTCTGAGTCAAATCTCCCAGCCATTTTCTCCGTGCTCCATGGATTCATCCTGGGCTCTGCCCTTTCAGTCCTAGGAGACTGGGGGCGCTTTTGCTCCAGCCTCCCTCCCTCCCTACAAGGACGGACAACCTGGAAGGGGACATCGGCCTGATCTCCAATCAGATTGCCCCAGCGTAGCCTGCTGGACATACTAATGACTCATTCACACTTGCCTGTTTCCGTGGAGAGGGAGGAGACTGCCCTGAGCAGCAAAGACAACCAAATTCTCTGCCCCTCGCTTATCAGGGTATCATCCTCTTGGGGCTTCAGCCCCAAATGTTAAGATGTTATACATACCTGTGCTTACACCTTCTCTGAGAAGGCATGTGGAACCCCAAGACACCTAACCCCAAACATAAAGATAGCAGTCTTTGTTTTTGAGACAAACAGGGCTTCTGTTAGCACTGTAGATCAGGCTGGCCTCGAACTCACAGAGATCCACCTGTCTCTGCCTCCCGAGTGCTGGGATTAAAGGGGAATGCCACCAAGCCCAGCAAGCCTTTACTTAACAAATAAGTAAATAAATCATTGTTAATCCTCGGTTGCTGGGCTTGGGATCCTGGTCAGTTACAGGGAGAAAAAGGAAATGTCTACTCCACCTGCCTACCCCAACTGCACCATGGGGCACTGGCACTGCTCCCCCAGGCTCCCTATAGGCCCAGCAGATGTGCCAGAACCCTCTAGCTACTGGCTGGCCAGGAAGCCTGCCCCTCCCATTGCCTGACTCCCAGATACCCTGCTGGTCTGAAGTACCAAAGATCTGAGAGGCAAGGGTTCCTCATCTTTGGTACCCTGAACATTCTGTGTCTGCTAAGTTTTTGTTGTTGTTGTGAGTGACAGACCATGTGTTGTAGGATTTTTAAGCCATATTCTTGTATTCCGTTCCCTGGATGCAGTAGCACCCTCGGTTGTTAGCAACCGAAAGTCAATTAAACATTGACAAATGCCCTCTAGAGTGTCAGGGCGTGTGCAAAGCTGCCTTTGGTGGAGGACCATTGATGTCATCTAACACGACGCACCCCAGCTGCCCGGTTCAGAGAACTCCCCAAAGTCGGTCCTAGATGGTTAGATACAAATGCAGCTTTCCAGTTCTCATACCTTCCCCAGCTTAGAATGTCTTGATCTTCAACAGCTCCCCAGGATCTATCAGCAAGTCAGTGGTGTTTACATCCTCTCTCAGTTCAAGTCCCTCGCCCCTCCTTTATTCTGGACCTCTCCACTGTGGGACTCTCACCACTCCCATCTTTACCGGTGTGATAGCCTCAGGACCTGGGCTGAGAGGTAGAAGAACCACCCGAGGGGGCTGGCCCCTTGCTGGGTTCTGCTCCTGAATTGCTCAATATGAACTCTTCAGGGATCAGGCTGGAGAGATGGCTTGGTGGTTAAGAGCACTGGCTACTTTTCCACAGGGCCTGGGTTCATTTCCCAGCACCCACATGGCAGCTCACAACTGTCTGTAATTTGAGTTCTAGGGGACCCAACACCCTCACACAGACACACATGTAGGCAAAAGACCTACATGTGCTAAAAACAAAAACACAAAACAAAACTACTCAGGGCCTCAGTGTGGGCTTATGTCCAGCTCCGAATGATGCAGACCTTTAGAACTCCCACCTCACAAAGGACAGTCATGGATTCCATCATCCATATGGTCACCTCCTCCAGCAGATGGGATGAGTAACAGCAAATATGGAGGGTTATCCGAATTCTCTTTTACAGTTGAATTCTTGTCATCATCAAAACCATCATCATTACCATCATATTTACTCAGCACTTCCTAGATACTAGGCTCCACCTATGTTAAATATTTCATTTGCATTGCCTTATTTAATTTTTTTTTTTTGGTTTTTCGAGACAGGGTTTCTCTGTGTAGCTTTGCGCCTTTCCTGGAACTCACTTGGTAGTCCAGGCTGGCCTCGAACTCACAGAGATCCGCCTGGCTCTGCCTCCCGAGTGCTGGGATTAAAGGCGTGCGCCACCACCGCCCGGCCTTAATTTTTACAATGACCCCCCAAAATACCTCATGGCACTCTTTTTAAAATTATTTATTATTTATTTTTGATGAAGCAAGTCTCATGTATCCCAAGTTGCCCTTCAAAGTTGCCCCCTAGTCAAGGATTTTTATTTATTGTAATACTTTTTCCCTTTCTTTCTTTCTTCCTTTCTTTCTTTCTTTCTTTCTTTCGAGACAGAGTTTCTCTGCATAGTCCTGGCTGTCCTGCAACTCTCTCTGTAGACCAGGCTGGCCTCAAACTCAGAGATCCGCCTGCCTCTGCCTCCGGAGTGCTGGGATTAAAGGCATGTGCCACCACTGCCTGCTACTATAATACTTTCTAAAGGAACTTTTCTTTATCATACTCCATACTTTTAAAAAATTGGTGGCATGTGCCTTTACTCCCAGCACTAGGGAGGAAGAAGAAGGTGAATCTCTGTGAGTTTGAGGCCAGCCTGGTCTACATAGTGAGTTCCAGGCCAGCCAGGGTTACATAGTGAGATCCTGTCTCCAAATATATATATAATTTTTATT